TTGGTTTTCAGGAGAACCTCTTGAGCTGGAATCAGGAACGTATCTGTCAATAAACTGGTATAATCTTCGTAATGGAAGACCATTTATGAGTGTTGAGAATAGAAGAAACCTGGTATGTATCCATACTAGTTATGATACGGTCTGTTACTTTTTTTAAAGTCCTTCGATACTTACATTCCTTCCATATTTTCTTTTTTGCGAGTTTTTAAAAATATGTTTATTTTAACGTGTGTTTTCTCAGCAAATCGATACTGAGCGATCGGAGCAACTTGCTAAGCAGCTACGAAAATATGCCTCGGGCACGTCTGGCGATCCTACACTCCACGATATGCTGGTACTTCTTTTCCTTTCATTACATTGTTTTCCAAGAAAATTTAGCTTATTCCATCTCTTTTAGGGCATGTTCTCGGAAACGGAGCGACTTAAGCCAGAGGAATCTTGGTACTGCAACAAATGTCGTGATCATGTAGAAGCAACGAAGAAATTGGAGTTGTTCCGTCTTCCACCAGTGTTGATCGTTCAGTTGAAGAGATTTGTTTATACAGGTACGGATTGACAACCTTACATCTACGCTATTATCCCTGTCTACTCATGCACGTTATTTTTTGTTGAGCAGATGTGTTAAGAATTTTAATTTGAAGAAAATAAGCCGATACTCGATACTTGATTATCTGCAAAACAATTTTGCATTGCATCATTGATGAATTCCTTTCTCGCATTCCAAGTTTGTAAAACTTGAGTTTTTATATTTTAAGCTCTGAATTGCCAAACATGTCTCAAGAATACTTGTATACTTCAGCGACATACCAAACAATGCATCGTCGAAGCAAGGACGAACGTCGAGTCATCTATCCTATTTCTAACCTTGACATGTCCCCTTTCTTAGCCGAAACAGCGCCTGCAGACCAGAATACTGTAAGCTTCACATCTATTTCATTGGACGAGAATATTCATAAATGAAAAACATTGTGTCTGTTTTTATCTTTAGATTTATGATCTTACTGGTGTTGTCTGCCATTCTGGAAGTAGTTACTTTGGACATTATGTCAGTATTGGTCGTCTTGCTGGTTTTGATTCCACAGATACTGTAGTTGGTGAGTGTTCAACATTAGTCTTTGACACGTTGAAGCTGTTAGAATAAATTTTAATATTTTCTTGAAGACTGGCGTCTCTTCGATGATTCGATCGTCTCAAAACAGTCTGTTAATAATGTACAATCTGATGATGCCTATTTACTTTTCTACAAACAGCGTGGTGTGCCTACTAAGTCGATATTCAGGTAATACGTTGTCCCTTTTTAGTTAATTTTCTCTTCCTTTTTCTTCCATTCCTTGCTTTTGCGGAGCTGTAGCCTGTTATTCTTTTTAATTTTGAAGGTGCGAGAGACTTTTACCAGGAACTCTATTAAGCTTGTTGCATTTATTTTTTTACGTGTAACGTAATGGAGAAATACGTACAATGTTACATTTTCTTTGAAAAAAAGGTGTGGCGAGCTTTTCTTTTGGCCATAAAAGCTGCAAATGTTACATTCTTGAATAAGTGGATAAGATTTTGGCGCCCTGATGTAATCACATATCACATCCGTTCCAAAAACAAAGGATTTTTGTCATGTCAAGCGTAACCACTTTGGTTAGGACTCGACATACTGTGCCGTTAGTCGCTTTATCCGCTCGTTTGTCCTTGTTTCAAACACACATCGATTTTACGCATTATTGCTGATTACTTGTTGCTTACTGTAAGTTGCAATTTGGCTGGTTTTTCTTCTAACCACTGCACCTAACATGTTTGACGTTTAGGCTTGCCGCAGAGTATGTTTTTACATTTGTAGAAACAAAGGTTGTTGTTTTACTGATGAGGACTTCGGTTGAGAAGGAAATAATCATTGCGGTGAACTGTAAGCCCATATAAATTACAGTGCTGTCTGAGAATATCGGAGTTAATGAGATTCTATTCTCTACTACATACTATTTTG